AAAACGCGTGCAAAAAGTGCAAAAAGTGCTTGCAACTAGCAACCATGGCCAGGGTCTGAAAACGTCCACCGTTGCGGTGTGCCGTTTCTGCTTTGTCGCGCCCCGTTTTGTTTTGTCTCAGCAGCCAGAGCATCTAAGATTTAAAAATAAAACTGCTTGTCTCCCACACTCTCCTACTGCCCAGAAGAAGAGGATCTTATTTGAGGCGTTTCTATGGTCTCACCGCTTCATATCAAAATATTTGTCGTTTCTGCTATCGCGGACTGTGCCTTTAAGTTTTCCTCTGACTCGCGCTTTGTAAACATTTCGTCATGTTGACGCCTGTAGCTCACCTGCAAAGATGAGCTGGGTGGTTGATGTTGCTGATGCTGCATAGCGAGCGCCATTTGGGATACGAGGCTATTTCGTGGTGGAGCAAGGCTTCCAGTGGTCGCAGTGAAAGCGCTCGCCACATGCTCGTCATCAGTCTCATCAGGTGGCAGTAACCTGTAAATAATCAGTGGAACCTCTGAAACAACACTACGGAACCGGGCACGCACCTCTTGAGATTCTTCTCCAACGAGGCGTTAGGTTTAAACTCTTGCTCGCCGGCTTTTTCGGCGATCTCCTTCAATCGCTCCGAGCAGAAAGCGTTCAGCGAGAAGGCACTCTTTGCCGACGGTTGCAGTCCTTTTGCTAGAGCTGAAAGCGAACAGTGGAGACTTCACACGATTCTGTCCCCAACTACCTCGAAGTCTTGTGAGACAACACGACGCAGGCGGTGTGGGCTGATGGATCTGGAGCCAAAGCGAACCAACTGTTAGCTCACAGTACCATTTTTATCTTCTCTGTATACAGATGAGAGCATGATCGTCGACTCAGCTGATGTTACCGGTGAACTGTTCGACGTGCACGAGACGTCGCCCTCGTCCGGCAGGTCCTCCTGCAAAAACAAAACTTAAAGGTACTGATCACAATGGTTGATGGGCGGAGCGATTTTGGTGAGGTTGTTGAGCGTGATTGGTGGAAGGGATTTGGAGGGGGTTCCAGCAATACCAGCTGCATAGCCTCCCACCAATGATTCCAATAAAATAAGGATAAAGGATAAAGCATTTGCCGTTGATCAATCCCTTTTGGGATGCGGCACGCATTCTACTTCCATTTGTACATTCGCAGTGGCGTTTGAATGCGATGTGGCCTATACAATGACTTGCGGGGGCCAGCCGATGTCAAGTCAGTGTTTTTATCCTCCCAGACAAGTCTGGTACCAATTAACCGACCCCGGAGGGATGGAAGGCTTGGTTGGCCCGGGCGACTCACGACCCAGGATTTGATCCCCGGACCGCTCGCGTGGTAAGCGCGCCACTTGTCACTACACCACTTCCGCCCTGATGTGCCAAGTAACGTCACCAAAAACGCGATCCCCCCTGGTCTTCGTGTTCACTGCCTCTAAGATGGTAAATGAAGAAAAATGTTTCAGCAGCCGTTAGCCTCATTGAAGGGCAACGCAAACGGTTCTGCAGAAGCAGAATTCTCCTAACGGACCAGGTAACACCCACATACCTGGCAGATTCGCAACCCATGAGCGGTGTAGCAGTGCTTCAGAAGATCCCATATGTCGCTATGCCGTTGCTTGCATGAGTGGCAGGTCACGTTCCTCGTCAAGGCATCTGCAAAGAAACTGGACTGAGAAAAAGCAGTCAAGTCGCACAGTTGCAAAGACATCCTGAACTCCACTATATCAAGGCGATGATAAATTATTGGTGAATGGAACCACAAGATTACTTCAGAAACTGTCAGGATCATCTAAAGCATGGCGAACTGTCAGGCAGGAATAAAGCAGAGCTCCCCGTCGTAGCAAAGTGGGCGGCGCCTACCCCTGATTTGAATATTGATATGGATGAGATTTGGGGCCAAGTGCACTGAAGCTGTGTTACTAAAGATCTATCGCTTCCCCAACGCCGCAGTGGGTCAAATATGCATAACGTAAGCTCGTCAGTTCGAGGACAAATTAACCTTGGTTTCTGATTTTCTTCAAAGTCAAATACGTGCGCGCTTAAAGGCAAGGTCCGGGATTTTGAGTCGAAATGAGCTTTTCTCCTAGAAAAAAAGCAGGGTGTACGGAAGCGGAAAGCATTATTCACTTTCGGGTTGATTCTGACAAGGCTCGAGGCCCAGGCTCGAGGATGTAGCAGTGGCCCGCCAACTGCATTTGAACCCCACAAAATCAGGCTGCCATCGCTTGCGCCCCATGTGGCAAGGGGAGACTGTTTCTTTTCGTCTGTACAAGGTGATTTTTTCCCCATTTTTTCATTACTGGCGTGACTCCCGCAGTGCATCCACTGTCACTTGAATAGCGTAGAAACACATCGTTTCCAGCTCCGGACTTTGCTTAACGACCACTTTCGCTGAGGTACAACCTGAGAAAAGAGACTCGTTTTCATGAAACAAAGCCAGGCTAACATATCATTTTTATTATATTACTACTATTACCTATTACTTATTACTTATTTTACTCTTACTTCGCTATTCTTTTAATAATTTTGATTAAACCATTTTGCAAGTTTTGCAGAGCAATTTTGCAGGGTATGGTTTCGAGCCTCGGCAGGGATCGAACTCGCGATTTTTCAGAGGTGCAACATGATTCTAACTCTCAACCACTCGGCCATCCCTGCCAATGGTAATTTTTCAACTCCATTCTTACTGAATATTGCGATCCACAGGTCAACTGGTAGGGGGAAGCCAAATAACATTCAAAAATTTATTAATGAAGTTGATGGCCCCGGCAGCGGTGTTGGGTAGTGTACGTCCGTTGTGGTGGAGTGCTGCCCTCCCGTGTTTCTTATCATTCTCTGCCGTGTGTAGATCCTAGAAAGAACTGACAAACGCCGAATGATTCAGCCTTTGTACTTTTCAAGAAGGTACAAAAGATTCTTCATGGAGTTCTAATTGGGATAGAAAAACAAGGGGATTTCCCACAAGGCAACTCCTTCATTTCTAATGCACTCAGAGAGGTTTGAAGCGCATAATGCGATCAATTCCCTTTGGAGGACCTTTCAGGGAGTAGAGCGCTTTTCAAAACCTCTTTCTATATGGAATTTTTGAGTGGACTACCCCTTTCTGTATGGTATTTTTGAGTGGACTACAAAAAACAGAAGAGACGCATTTTTGCTGAGCGCCCCGTTGTAATACTAAATAACTGGTAAGGAACGGCCCCAAGGTTTAATTATGCAGTCGATAGACAGGATTTTTGCATTTTAGGATAAGTGCTTCTTACACATTGCTTCAATAGCGCCTGGGCGCTCATGTCCTTGGGGGGACATCCAAGTGAGTGAGCCAATTACTGTGCTTGGGACTAAGCCTCAGGCAGGGGAAGGGATTCTGTGGGAGTATGCAAGCAATATGTGTGCTCCATGCCGTTTCTCCCCTCTTGGGCTTAGTCCTAGTGCCACCTTCAATCGGCCCTGTTGTGGATGTCCCCCCCCCCAAGGACATGAGCGCCAGGCACAGCAGGTGTTACATTAATTACTAGTACCCATTAATTAAGGACCCACAGTTAGGTTTTAATCGAAAACCGCATGCAAACCGTCCGTTGCTAGCGAATTTTTTTTTCGATTTTTTTGGCCTTCAGAGGCTGCTCAGCGTAAATGAACCGGTTTAGCAGCCCACATAACAGCCCCCACACCATGAGAAAAAGTGTTTAGAAAAAGCGCGCACGCTCCACACCCTGAAAAACCTCCCTAGTAGATTGCGCCACGCGGGTGACGTCCACTCAAAGCGGGAGAGTATTAAGGCATTTTGAAGTACCATGAGCGATCAGGCGTTCTTCAAACCAACGTTTTCTCCTTTGCTGCACAGTATGAGCTTCCAGAAACGGAATGAGGCACCTCTACGGGCCATGATTACTTATTCTCATGTATGCGGCGTGAAGGACGCGGACTACGGAGTTGGCCCCCCGTACTCGATCTTCGGATGGATTCATCCGATATGAACCCCATGTGAGCCTTCACTGAAGTCACAGGTCACTTTGACGCAAAACAAACTCGGGGCTGCGACTCGATCGACAACCATTGTTGCTCACTGCGCTAACACTGTGACCACAGATCAGAAAAAATAGAAAGTTTCGTCAAGACGAGGGGGAGGCGACGGTGAGAGAGACGGGCTAGTAGAGGGAGATTCAGAAAAAGGAAATCGAAAGAAGGCGCCTCATGGTCCAAAAAAAAACATGGCAGAGCACTTCGACCCTTAAAGTGGCCTTTAGAAATTTGAGAGTAATCTAGATCGGATAGGACTCCCTTAAAGAGTGGTTTCGCCAATTGATTAGCATCGACCGGTTCCTTCAAGATGCGCCACGATTTCCTCTGCTCCTTGAAATTCTAAGTAATTATTCGACCTGAGAAATGACCTACAAACACGAACCATGTTCACATTATTTTTGCTGCTCCTTTAAGAAGGCCAGAAACCAGCTACCACATGAAGGCTTTGCAAAACTGCGAGAATTCGACTCTAAAGAATGTCCATATGCCAAAGATGCCTTAGTTTCTCGGTACCCAACACCACCCACCAGCCTGTACCATAGGAGTTTTTGCCTGTTTTCCCGGGTATATTCGATTTCTTACTTGAAACAGGCTCAAAGATATCACCTCGATTTTTCGTGATCCTAGGGAGCCCATATATTAAAATGCAAGTTTGCCACCGCGAAGGAGATTCCGCGCTCTTCACACCTCAGTCTTTGCAGTTTTACATCTGTTTGGCCCAGAATACCCTCCTTTCCAAAAAAACGAGAAGAGCGTCGGGTGCAGACAACACACCTCAATTGACGACGAGTGATAGCTGATTTTGGTAAATGATAGTTGTAATTAGTGACAACTGATAGAATACAACTGCAACAGGCTAATCATTTCATTGGCAGAAAACATTTACATTTTGTGGAGGCCGTCGTCACTTGTGGTGTATGGTCTGCACCCGACGCTCTTCTCGTTTTTTGAAAGGGAGGGTAGGTCAAGCGGCGTGTTTAAAGATAAGAGATGGACTTCCCGGCTTATGTTGGATCCCATTGGATCACAAGCGGCCGTCGGAAAGATCTGGGCCGCTTCGATGCTCGGCCAACAAAGGAGACGACGTTTGAACCGTCGGAATGGAAGGTCAAAGTCGACTTGCATGAACGCCGAAATTTGCAAGGACACTCGGATTTGGGTGATATAGGTGATTTGACCTTGTATAAGATCTTATCGCATAACCTCTTTCCAATTGGTTTCCCTCCTACGCGTTTTGGTGTGACAGCAAGGTTCTCCCTAGGTCTCAGCTCTCAGTCGCGTTGCAGTTTCCATTCGACGTTCACGCGGTTGACGGCGCGCCTGTTTGCCATGGATTTCTATTTGCGTTTCTTTTTTCCCGCTGTCGCAGCGGCCGTTTGGATAGGATTGCAAACATCACCATATTTACAAGCGGCGTCGACGTTTTCCGGGGTTCTGCGACCGACCACCTGCAACGCCTCGCAACGTTGCTATATGGAAACACTACGGAAAGGGGAGTGCTGCAGTCAAAAAGTGGATGCAGAAGCCTGAAGAGCCTCACAAGTAGCTAGTACT